CTCTCTCTCTCTCTCCCCCGGGCATGAGGGTCGGTCAAGACCCCCGGGCCACAGGCCCACCCGCATTGTTTTAATGCAGGCTAGGGGTGTGAAGAGCGAGCATAGTACTCCCATGATTTTGAACTATTTATGATGAGGTAGAGGTGAGGGAGTACGTATGCTCTCCAAGACAATATTCCCCCGATCATGCACGACTGTCTACGTTGTGTCCCCTAGCAAACTGCACATGATGTATAAACAAGGTCTCTCCGTCTCTCTCTCTCTCTCTCTCTCTCTCTCTCTGTCTCTCCCTCTCAGTATGGAAACATCACAAGACTCAGGCCGCATAAGAATTGCCATCGAGAGCACTTCGATAAGACCGCCAGCGGGAACCATCGAATCGCCACTCTTGCCTGAGTCATCCCTGAGGATGACAAAGTAGAACACGAAGAGATCAGTGTCCTTCATGGCCGCCTCGAGGAAGTCTTGCGACGCCTTGTCAGTCTCAGGCGGCGTCCAAAAAAGCTTGGACTTCTTGGTCGGGATCTCGCCTCATGGTCTGAGAATGAGAAACTTGACAGCAGAGTCGACTGCACTCCTGCACTGCATCAACAGAGGCAAGCACGAGTATCCTTCAGGAAACCTTTGCCGTCAATGGCCTTGATGTAGGTGGCTTCCTTCAGGAACTCACCGGCCGTTGTCTTCACGAACGTATCAGGCGAAGACTTGGTCGTGATCAGGATCTTCGTGCTCTTGGAGATGTTCCAGGGCATGCTGCCTGAGCCTTCCTGACGTGACATGTGGTCTCAGGGATCTCACAAACAGACACGATGCGTTCTTGCAAGCTGAAGGAATGATTCAAAGCTAAGCTTCAGTGCTGGTCAGCCTTCCATTCTTGATGATCCGAACAATGTCGCCCTTCTTAACGCTCCTAACCTTCTTTATCAGGGTCTGAGCTTGGATGCACCCATCTTTCATGGAAAACTTGAAAACACCCGGCGGCTTTCCTGCTGCATCGTCCTCCTGAGCCGGCACCGGCTTGTCATCCTCAGCTGGCTCTTCGTCCTCCTCTTCATCCTCCTCATTGTCGTCTTCTTCAGCTGCCTCTTCTGCTCCTTCATCACCGTCATCTGGCTCCTCCTCATCATCTTCATCGTCTTTGTCCTCCTGGTCCTCCCCGTCCAGTAATGCTTCCAGCTCCAGATCCATGTCAGTGTTCTGTTTGACAGTGGTGTCGTCATCAGCAGGCAGGTCGGTCAGGACCTTCAGAGGAAACCATGTACGTAGAAGCATGAACAGTGTTCACAGTTCAGAAAGCAAGAGAAATGTGCAGACAACGAGAGAGACACCTTCACGGCTGGCTTCTTTTCGTCGTGAGCCTGCTGAACACATGAACATGATCGGTCAGTAACTGTATGCACTCACTACAATGGTGCTGTGACAGGTCTGGCTTTCTTGTCAGGCTCCCTGGTCGCTCTGGCCTTGTTCAGAGTCTCCGTGCTCAGGCTGGTCTTCTTGCCCAAGAAATTGAAGACGAGGGCAAGCTCGCCGCCGAAGGGCTCCAAATTCTTGCTTGCCCTCAGCTTGAGCACGGGATTGCTCGACGTGCTGAAGCACCAGTCAGGCGTGAGCCAGTTCAGCTCGTCGCAGTCGGACTGTTCAGCACACACGTGCAGGTACGCACAGGCGTGGTGGTCAGTCACTAAGGACAGTGACGTCGAAATAGGGCTTCCGAACTGCACGTTCAGGCCTGACTGACAGCTTGGGAGGCTGCGATGAGTGGTAAATGGGCCAGTGATCTCCATGACCGTTTCAAAGGCTTTGAACCTCAGCCACAGGAACCCAAATGTTTTGCAGCGTTTGCAGCAGCATGTGAAACCTCAGACAGAGTCTGAGTCCTGCACGGCCTTGCGGGTCTCAGTGCAGAGCCCTCGCAAAACATGGACGGCACCAAGGCCACAGAATTGTCCATCAGACCTGAAACACGACTTCTTTTTGAAACACAGCATGGAACCCCATGGAACGCAATTGAATTGTTGAAGACCACATGTTCAATACATGCAGACAAGTGGCTTTTCCAGAGTTTCAGCTTCGGAGGCAGACGGGCAGCCACGAGCTCATCTGATTCTGGCTCTCGAACCAGCGCTTTCCGAGGGGCATTCACCTCAGGGAAGGGCTGCGCCGGGTCAGCCAGAATCCGTGGTCCCGCTGTGGATACCTGTCAGAAGTCTAGTAATATGGCTGCCCAACTGTCTCACAGGTGGACGCTGTAACCAGAAATAAATTACAGCGCAGCAGGCAGCAAAGAAAACAGGAGCCTCTGCGGGCTGCAAGCTCGCGTGAGTCCTCCTCTGTTTCACGAAATGCAGCAAGTTCTCGGGCAGCGGCAAGTGCAGCTCAGGTGTTTTCTGACAAAGATCGGCAAGGTCTTCATCAGTGCCCGACTTGTTCCTCAGTTCAGAGTGCTGCGGCCAACATGGCAAATTCGAGCTTTCTGTCTGGGCGGCCTAGGCATGTAAATGTATGCACATGAATGCCTGAGTGAAGCACTTCTTGAGTTGCCTCGTGATCTCAGGTGTGGTGGATTCATTGAGCTTCTTGAGCAGGGCCGCCTTGCGGCCGGGGGCCGAGCCCCAGATTCCCGCATGCCACGACACACCTGGCTCTAGGGCATAAACGAAGGAAGATGGCGGTGCGACAATCCAGGCCTTCGCGACTCAACACGTCGTCGAGGAGATGGCCGTGACCGGCCTCCAGCTCGAAGACGATGCTGTCTCTCAGGTCGAGCTTCAAGCTGCTGAAGAGGTCCTCAACTCTGCCGATTGTTGAAAAATGCGCAGCACCAGCAGAATGAGCAGCAGCAGCAGTTTCACTAACAGCGGTAGCAGCTGAAGCATCTGGACTCTCTGCTGCTGAGATGCATCGTAAAATTTGATGCCCCAGGCTCTTTTCGTGCCAATCACATGCCGATTGTCGCCTCGCAGCGTCAAGCTGGTGTCCACCCTCAGGCTGATGAACGGCGCCGTCACAGTCATGTCCTGTCTAAGGCTGTTGCTGTTCATGTATTCAGGAGACATGGCAGGATTCTCAACCAACAACACTTGACACGTGTGTCCTTGCACCACGATGAATTAGGGTCGTACACGAGAAGCACTTGCAGAGGAACTGGTGTGTCAGCAGTCGCATGCCAATCAGGCATCTTGGAGAGAATGGCGAGCACACGAGAGCAATGCAGATGTGCATCAGTCACCATATTCAGGAGCTGCATCTCCATGGGGTGTATGAAGAGGCCCTGGCCCAGTGGCAAGATGATGACCTTCAGGATGTCGGAACCCACCATCAAAGCACCTGAGGACGGGGACAGGCGAAAGCTGCATTCCTCAGGCAGCACAACAGTCATGGGAATGTGTGCATGCAAGTTGCTCGAAGATGTGACCCCAAGAATGGCAGACATAAGATCAGGCATCTCGGAAACCTCCATTATATTAAAGTCGACGAACATCATGACTTTGGAGCTGGTGTCGCGAATGAGTTTCTGCCATTGTGCTGGCAGGTCAGTCGCCGTTTTCCTGATCTCCATCACAGAGTACCGGCCATCCACCTGTCAGGCCAAGCAAAGCTCACGTCACCCCAAACCCCCCCCCCCCACCCCCACCCCACCAACGACAAACCTAAGCACCTCAGACTGGATGCTGTTCTGCAAGCGCTGCGTTGACTGGGACAGCTTCTGCAAGGCCTCTTGGACGAGCACCCCCGTCTGCTCTTTGGTTTGCTCCCAAGTCTCCATCAGGACGGTCTTCAGCATGGCCAGGTGCGTAGCTGCTTGCTGCATGCTGTTCTCCTGTGACTCTGTGAGCTTTGCCTCAAGAGCTTCCCGCTGGACCTTCAGGCTGGCTAGCTCACTTGCCTGCTGCTCGTGCTTGCGCTTTTTGACCAACTGTCGCACGACGACCCATTTCTCGGGTGGGCCCACTTCAGGCTCGGAGCCATTGGCAAAGGCTTCGACAAGGTGTTCAGTCTCCGCAGGCGACCACTGCAAACCAGAACTCCGTTCGAAGAGCTTGTGAAACTTGCCAGCCGACTCTCTCAGCAGTGTGCGTCGAGCCACAGGGATATCCACCTTGTCCCAGGCCTTGCGGATTGCAAGTGGCGACGCCTTCTCAGGCTCTGAAAGGATCACTTGGAAGGCAAGTTCAGCCTTGGCTTCAGTACAAGGACACATATTCACATCAACCTACAATGCCGCTTTCTCCGTCTTCTGATTAATGCCAAGAGGCCTCTCTCAGGACTCTCGCGACAAAGAGTTCCTGTTCAGTCGCTGAACTCATGCACTGTTGGCCTTTCTTGTGGCGAGGCCCTTGCAACAGGGTCTTCGGGTCTCTCCACCACGAAGCCGGGTAGATGTCAGCGTTGTGGTACTTGCCTATCAGTTTCTCGATCCTGTTCAGGCTCTGTCGCCCAACTCGCCTGGCCACATTCTCCAGTCTCTTATACGGGAAGACTGTCTCCTCGTCGCTCAGGCTGGGAATGTGGAGTTTGACCTCAGCTATGTCATCACGGGTCTGCGCAGTGCACCATCAGAAAGGCCTGGCTTGGCATTAATCAGGAATAAGGAAAGCACCTGCTTCTTGAACTCGCTCAGGTCGAGTGAGCAGGACTCCATCAGATTGAGGAGCGTATAGACACTGAAGCCCGTGGTGCCATATTTGGCTGTGGCACAGTGCTTCAGACCTCAGAGACAGAGTAGCAGTTGTTAGTTACAGAAGAGAGCTGAATCCCTCCGTTCACGCATGCCTGGCCTGCGAACATAGCATTCGTCTTTGTCAGCGCATAGACAGTGCAAGGAATAGTCTTCGCCATGCGGTCAGCCCAAGTTGGTGTGGGCTGTTTTTCAGTCCAACCTGGACTGGAGACAAGTATTGCATCTATGCTCCGCGAAATGGACCGATGTCTACACGTCAGCTGCAGCAGATCGTCCATGCCATCAGGTCGCAAAACCAGAACAAGAAGTAGAGAGAACAAACCCGTTGGTGTCCGCTGACGAAGGTGACATCACCACCTCTGCGGCAGTGCTGGAATGGAACCTTTGGCATGACTCAGAAGTTTCCTCAAGCAGGCTGGGTGTGCCTTCAGGATGTAAGTTGACTGCAATCAGACCCTCAGGCCACTTCTGCATTCTTTCATATGCAATGATCTTTTCCACCACGGAGGAGGCATTCACCTCACAGCATGCACGCTTCACGCTGCTGCTAACATGCGACTCTGCTATAGCCAACCCTTCTACTGCAGGCAAATGACACCTCGCCAACCGACTGCAATGGAAGGAGAGTGAGGTAGCTGATGAAGAGAACACTCAGTGCTGAGATGGCTGATCTCTGCGGTGCCAGGACTCAGAGCTTTCAGCTTCGCCATGAATTCATGGTCGCAAGCGAGCTTCTTGCTCTCAGTTTCCATGTCAACAGTGTCTAGCCATTTCTTCACTGCAGAAACAATTGGCGTGAAGACAACAGGCTTGCTTTCCATGTCCTCATCATCACTGCTCCCCATCTCCTGGATTTGTGTTTGCGGTCAGCGGTCAAACTCAACTCAGGCATCGGGCTACTTGTGCTTAGGGCCGCGGGCGCTAAGCGCAAGTGACCACGTCCACAGCGCAAGTGGCAGGGTCCAGGGCGCACGTTTGTGCTCTCAGAAGGCTACTTGTGCTTAGGGCCGCGGGCGCTAAGCGCAAGTGATTGCCAACCCTGAGCTCTCAAACCCACCTCATCCAACAAATCAGTATGGTGCTGTCCTTGTCCTCATGCTCATCTGGATCCATGAGCAGAAAAAAAACAGGACCAGGCCAAAATAGCCAATCAGAATGCGAGCCGGCCTTGAGCCGGGCTGTGGAGTAAGCGGGGTTTGTCACTGCATGATCCTCCGGACTTGCCAAAACACGCTTGACG